ACGTTACAAAACTAAGAAAAATTTAATGAAAACCCATCGTTTTGATAGTCCAAATAAAACCTTACTCTTTAGATCTTTAATCAATCAAATGAAGGCTTATTCACACATAAATAAAAGATTTCAAGCTAAGGCTTCATCCTTAATTTAAATCATTAATTAATTGATTGGAGGCCTCATTGACGCAAATGAAAGATTTGGACACTCCAAATTCAAATGGATGTACTTATGTTGGATATTTAATCCGGATTATATGTATATAGGGTATAGCCTTGCTGTGTGAGGCCTGGATTGGGCTGAGCCTTTGTCTGGAGAAATTTAGTGGGGCGTGAGCTAGCATATTGGGTTTGGATGTAGTTAGGGCCGTTAGGCAGTAGTTCCTCTCTCTCTTCTTTTTTCTTTCATTTTTTTTTTCTCTTTTTGTGTGAATAGTTAGGCAGTAGTTTGGATGCCTTCTATTTTGGCTTGATGGTCTGTGTCTGAAAAGCAGAATCCTAGGCAGTGGTAGGTGCCAAACTGCCCATGAACTGGGCCACGCCCATGCATGTCCCTATCCAGAATTGAAGAGGAAAGTTTCAACAAAGAAGCTTTATTGCTTTTGCAATATGCAGTGAATGGAGAATGATTGTATTTCCATTGATGCGAGGTGAGGTTGCATTAGGATTCAGGAATGCTAGGGATAAGAGTTGAGTTGTTTATGTACTAAATGCTATCAACTCCCTCACACATACACCAAAGAAAGAGAAATGTAAATGTCACTCAGCCTATAAACCAGAAATTGCCAATTTGAAACTCCAAGATTAATTAATTTGTTCTCATAGAAAATAAGTGTTATCTTGTAAGTTCAGGATTTAAGTCTTGAGCTTAATATTTAAGGAAATTCATTTTTTTGAATGTATCAAACTGATGTAAGAGTGAATTTTTAAAATTACTCTGGAAGAAATTAATTTTTAAATATGTAAAAGTTAACACGAAAATATTTTAATCATAAATTAAAAAAAAGGAAGAAATTATCAGTTTATAGCATTCCAAATTTGAGGGTGAGGATTGCTTTATTATTATTATTATATTTTTTATATTATTATATAATAAAAAATAATTTTTATCCTTAAAAACAACTCTAATCTCTATCTTTTTTTAAGTTTTAAACTTAAAATATCTAATATAAATACACAAACTCTTTTAACTCTTAACTATTTAGAATGCAAAGGTCAAGGAGACTAAGGAATTGTTGGCAATACAATTTTTTTGTTACCAACTTAGAGAGTATATTCCTTATCTTGTTGATTGTGATAACTCATTTTCTTATAAATTTTATGGAGATAATTCTTGGTAAATCTCACTATTAAAAGACATAAAATATAGTATCCTATAATTAGAAAATGGATGATTAAAAATAAGGATCCCAATATAGATTGTCTGACTTTAACCAACTATAAAAAAATGTTTTTTTGAAAAAAAAATTGACTTTTGAAGATGAACTCAGTAGGCTACTCACTCAACCAGTAATTATTATTATTTTTTTTTTGGTTATTGTTTACTCAAAAAATGATTGAGAAACAATTTTTATATAATTTTATATATAATTTAATGATTTTTTTTTTCGTTATTTTAAGATTTATAATACTATAAATATTTATTTAATAAAATATAAAATTTGTATAAATTTTTTTAAAAAAATTATCTGCAGATCATTCTTCTTCCTTACCCTACACCTGGTCAAAGATCCATTTTCATAATGTCTCGCGGAGTCAAAGACTTTCATTTTAATAGTACTAATTAAAAATAAGGATTCAAATACATTTAAAAACAACAATGATAATAACAATAAGGATTCCTAGTTTGTTTCCGACACATTTTTCTGGGCAATGTACATTTTACCAACTAATCTGAAAAATAAGTGTGTAGTTAGACACTTAGAACTCAACAAATTTAACTGGTACAATGATAAATATTTTTAAGTAAAAGTAAAAAGTACTGTATTTAAATTGTATGAAATATAAATATAATGAGTTATTAAAGGATTAGAGAAGTTATGTTTTTTTTACAACAAAAAAAGTGTGTGACTCCAATGAGGTGGTTCAATGATTAAGAATTTGAGATTTCAAATTAGAAATCTCAACTTTGAATCTTAAGTCAAATGGGGAGGAATTTAAAAAAAATAGAGGATTATTCCTTTTTGTATAACTTATTTAAATATACAAAAAATATATATATAATTAAATTTATATGTATTTAAGAATATTGTACAGTGTAATATTATAATTATCGTCATTCATATACTATTTTCGAAATTAGTGTTAAAAGAATATAAAAGTTACTATGTTAGGCTTTTGAAGTTGCTCATATCATATTAAAACGCATATGTTTCTTTTTTTATTGTCAAAACCCAGCAAGGGAAGTGAACAATTTTGTAAGAAGAACTTGTAAAGTAATTAATTTTTTTTTTTTAAAGTAAATTTTATTATTTTATAAGAAAATTTTATAAAGTAATTGACTAAATAATTAATAGAAAGGTAATTTTTTTACTCGTACGATTAAGGTTATCAATTGCAGCAAATTGAAAGTTTTATCCTTGCTTAGACATTAAATAATTGGTTTTGAGATATACATAAATTGATTTAAAGATTCTTTCATTTTTTTTTTTTTTGAAAAAAAGCATTTTAATCATTGTTATTTTAGCATCGATTGAAAGTAACATTTTGGTTTTTTATTAATCACTCATGGGAAATTTTCGTAAATTAAAATAGATTGTTAAGACAATGAAGTCTCTCAACAAAGGTGAACTAACTTAATTGCCTTTTTTGTTTAAATTGTTTTATTCGAATATATAAGATATAAGTAAAATAAAATAATATTAATATTATATTTGAAGGAGCTCTTTTTTTTTTTTTTTATTTGAACGTATTTTGCAATGGCAGATTTTGAACCCTGCCGAGGGAGGGGGAATGCACCGTGACTATGCCACTAGATCTCAAGGGGCAGTGCATTTGAAAGAGCTCTTTATATATACCGATACATTAAAAAGAAATTGTTTTGTCACGTATTTTATTTAAAAATTAAATATATTTAAAACTATAAATTTATATAAAATAATATTATTATAATGATTTAATATTAACATAACAATAAAAAGAGTTTTACCATTGTACTTCTCTAATTGCGCTAAAGGAAAAGCCTCTTACCCAAGGTAGACAAACCTAGAAGAGCAGTGGTGGAAGGCAGCCAGAAGAAAAAGGGAGCGGCATGTCACGGCACGCGAGTTCGGGGGCCGAAGTCGAGGGCATCGTGGCACGGAGCTGCAGCCACGGGCACACAGGGGGTGTGTCCAGCGTCCAGGAGGCATGCAACGCAGCGTCACGGAGTACGAGCGCAGAGACGAGCACGGGTGCAAGTCGAAGCGCAAGCGGAAGCGTGGACGCGGGCATGCAGGACGCGGGTGTCAGTGTGGGTGTCGGTGTCGCGACACGGGGTTGCGGCCACGACACTTACGAGGACGCATACGAGGACGCAGCCACAAGGCGGATCGCTCGGGACGCAGCGGGCCTTGTCAGCGAAGGCGTCGATACCAGGGCCGTGG